TGAGATACTCAGAGAAAACTTTAGTCAATAACAAAGGAAAGACGAGTTCACCCTATACAACCACAATCAGCTTATGACACTAGGGCACACCAACCACAACTGTTTGTAGCCTGAGGTGGCACCATTCTACATGCTCACATCTGTGCTAATATTTCCCTCCCCTCTGCTACCTCCCTGATGGCTCTTCCCCCATCCTCCCTGACAGCTGTCACATTCTAGAGCTACTCTTCCTCCACCCACTCTTTCATTTTGGTAATCTGGTGTTTCCCAGTTCAGTCTCTCGACCTCTTTCTGTATTATCTCATCCTATATTCACTCATTCCTCTACTTAGTTCCTATCTTTGACAAGGACACAATCCAGTGGGGGAGACAGATATGTCACTAGAATTAAGTACAATACATCACAGTCAATGCTGTGAAAGAAATATAACAAAGTGCAGTGAGCACATATTCATCCGTCATTACCCTACTCGATGTCTTCCAAATCAATACTCTGCCTTCCCACTCTGTTGTATATCAGTTACTAAATCCTGTATCTTTCCAAAATATCCCGATCTCCACTTCCACCTCAAGGTTTAGGCTTCGTTTCTCACATGACTATTTCAACCACTTCCTATTATAAACATAATTCAATATATAGCCACATTGTCACATGAGCAATCTCCCTAAAAGAGATAATATACCGTATCATCCCCTTGGTTTGCAACACCTAATCTTTCCAATGTCTAAGAAATGAAGTCCAAATCCTCGGCATGGAAAATAAGATAATACTTTTGAAATAGCATCTTTTAAAAGCAGGCTGACTGAGTTCCAGTTGCAATGCTTACCACCTATATTATCTTTGGCAGGTCACGTTCTCTAAATTTTCATATCCAAAAAATGAGGATACTAAAAGAATCTTCCTCCTAGGGCTGCTATGAGGATTAGGTAAGAAACTAACCAGCATAAAACCCAGCACTCAATGTTAACTATTATCCTGGGCTGTCTCATCCATCTAGAATGGGAGTAATCTACTCCACAATGGGAGCAGATTACTAAGGTTTCCTTTCATATATTTTAGAATGATTAACAATAAGAGTTAAAGACAACCTTCTGGTTAATATTGAACAGACAAAAATTTCAATTAACCAATATATTGCTGTCATAAAAGTTTTAGTTTATCTAAAACTTACCATAATTTATTAAAAACAAGTACACATTTTTATTAAAGTTAGGTTATTTTGTTCTGTTTTCCTATTTAAGTTCAGAAAAAAAGAATGGAAACATAATAATGTAGTTTTCTATAATATAAAATACACATAAATGAAATTTGATCTCAGTTGTATATTAACTTTCTAAATATATATACATAACAAAATGAACTCTAGAAGCTTAAGAAAATAAAAGTATGCATCAAACAGGTGCATGGCATTCATTCTCAAAAAACACAATCAAAAGACAAAAATCACTGACTTTTTTCTTTTATCTTTTTTCTTTTAAATAGAGATGGGGTCTCACTATGTTGCCTAGGCTGGTCTTGAACTCCTAGGCTCAAGCGATTCTCCCACCTCAGCCTCCCAAAGTGCTGAGATTACAGGTGTGATCCACCACACCCAGCCACACTGACTTTTAAAAATATAACACAGGGATTACCCTGTCTCTATTAAAAACATAAAAATTAGCCGGGCGTGGCGGCGCACGCCTGTAGTCCCAGCTATTCAGAAGGCTGAGGCAAGAGAATAGCTGGAACCCCGGAGGTGGAGGTTGCAGTGAGCCAAGATGGCACCACCGCACTCCAGCTTGACGACAGAGCAAGACTCTGTCTCAAAAATATATATATATATGATATAAATTTAATAATATAAAACCTATAAAGACTGCAATAAGAAAAAATAGATCAGAAATATTTTTCAAGAGATTAATATATTTATGATATTAGTGCTAATGAAAATTGGTGAGAAGATTCCAGTAAATGTATGGACGATGGACAAATAAAGGAGAAAATAAAACCAGAAGAATACTGCATTTGCTTCTCTATTATGGACTATGATGTTAAACTGCAAGTAACCTTATCCTCATTTTTAAAAAACCAACTTTTAAAAGCAAAAACCTACAAAGTATGACAGAACTGGTCAACCAAACTCTACTGGAGTCAGTGTAAATCAGTATCTTTAGAAGTAAATCTGGTAATATCTTTCAAAATTAACAAAACCTTCATACCCTGACTTTGTAATCCTGCTCCTGGGCTTTAAGCCCAAAGGAAAGAAGCAAAATGATGAACAGCTATATATTAACTGCATTACCTGCAACATAGTAAACAATCTAGATGTCCAATTATTAAGAAATGTCATTGTAACACTGTATAATCACCTAAAGGTATAAAAACTATAGCAAAAATAAAACATCAAATATGAAAGCAAATATTAAACATTACATTTATGCTTTATCATATAAAATCACTTAGATATGACAAGAAATAAGAAGAAAAATTAAAAGTCTGTTTTGATTTTTAAAATTTATTTGACCATTCAGTTGTTTGCAAGATAAAAAGCCTTTTGGAATTGGTCAGGCCCACACCACTAAGTATGCATTTCAACTTTTTAGAGGCAGTCATAGTCATCAACTTTTTCCCCCAAAATCCTATCACATAGGAGTAAGACAGGCTCTTCTCGCAGACAAGCCATACAAGTAATTTTAGCCATGCTATTAGCCAGCTGCAACCTTCTTATATTAAAATCTCATTGTACCATCAAAACTTAATTGTATGTGAGCTCTCCATATGGTGATCCAGAAGCCACTTGTTATGGGGCATCTGGAGAGAGTTCCCCAGGCACTGAAGTGAAAACTATCTAGCTGAGAGAAATAGTGAAGGTTAGGTTTCTCCTATATCCCCAAATGAATTATCATGTTTCTCAGCCACAAGGGATCTAAGTCCCTATGAGTGGCAGCTATGGATTCAAAGAGGGAGAAAGTGCAAGCAGATTTGCACTCCCTCTGAAAAACTGGCAGCTCCTTCATTTCACCCCAAAGCACCATGGAGTAGTGAAAAACATACAATGAGGAGGTCAGGAGATATGAGATGTAGGTGAGCCTATGCAATCTCAAACAAGTTATTTGTCTTTTTAGGCTGAGTTGTTTAATGGTAAAATTTTTAAAGTTGAACCAAATAATCTGTTAATTCTTTCAAGTTCAATATTCTATTAATTTAATAGACCCTTTTTTCAGTACACATCCAAGTAGCTCACAACCCCTATTCAAATTGTAAAACAATTAAGATTTAGAATTAGGAGACTAGGGTCAAAAGACCTGGACTGTAATCCCCGCATGACTTTGCACCTCAAAATAAAGTTGTACGACCAATGAAGCAGCAATCCTTATTGGTCATGCCCTGTTTACTCCTGTATCTTAAAACGTTTTTTGTTGTTGTTGTTTTGTTTTTTTTTTAATAACTGGGGTTTCATTCCTAACCAGCCTATAATCCCAGCACTTTGGGAGGCCGAGGTGGGCGGATCACGAGGTCAGGAGTTCAAGACCCAACATAGTGAAACCTGTCTCTACTAAAAAAAATTAGCCAGGTGTGGTGATGTGTGCCTATAATTCCAGCTACTCAGGAGACTGAGGCAAGAGAATCGCGTGAACCCGGAAGGCGAAGGTTGCAGTGAGCCGAGATGAGGCCACTGCACTCAAGCGCAGGCGACAGTGCAAGACTCTGTACCAAAAAAAAAAAAAAAAAAAAAGAAGCCCCAAAACCTGGTGGAGACAGACACATAAACAAATCACCAACTCCCAGCTGACACATACTAACTGCAGAGTGTACGAATCAGTCAAGACAAAAGGGATGAGATGTCTAGACAAGGCTCTGAAGTGATACTTTCATAAGGTCTTCAAGGGCAAGTTGTTTACTAGGCAGAGAATTCTCAACAAAGAACACTGAAAAACCACAGAGGAAGATGTCATCTTCTGAGAAGTGCAACAGTCTTATATAGAGAGGGCAAGCATAATGGTAGAAGATGACACTAGAATGTAGACAAATACTACTAATCATGAAGGACTTTGAATTTTATTGATATAGACTATGGAGAGTCACTGAAGGACTTGTAAATACGGATTCAAAGTCCCTTCCTCCAAACTACAGTCAAAGGAGTTGAGTCAAAGCAACAAAAAATGCAGGTCTGAATGTGGAAAGGTAGAATTTTTACAGAATTCTTAATGGAGACTTTCTGCTTGCTTTCAGGATGGCATCTAGTGCTTTCTTAACTATGGCTTATGCTGAAGTACGACAGTATGAATTATGGCTAAAGGGTTCAACAAAATGTGCATTTTTAACCTGAAGATTATTTGAAGCCAATGTTGTTTAGAACACAAACGAAAACAAAAAATAATAGTAACGAGCTTTCATAAATTAAGAGAAACAAACAGTAATAAAGTCCAAGAGGAAAAAGACTGATTTCAGGCAAACAGGAATATTTACATCTTTATCACATATGGATGACGGATAAGACATGTTTTGAACCTATCTTTTGCAGGACAGCATCTTAAGTTCCTTTTGGTTAAAGAGCAGCTGCCATCTCTAAAGTCTCTAGTCTAAAAGATGATGCTTTAAAAAAAAAAAGTCTAAAAGATGATGCTTTAAAAAAAAACTGGCCAAATTAATAGGTTCCGTTATATTTTAATGCTCGGGAGAAAAGGAATGCCTTTCCTATGGCTATTTTAAAAAGCTTAAACCTCAATTTCTCTCACCTATTGGAGTGAGCTACCAATACTCATCTGAGACCACAGCGTCCCTGCATCAGTCATTTCCACTCCGCTAAGGCCTTGTCTGGGAGCAGCCAGCCTCATCGGTCGGGGAGCCCACACAGATGAATATGCAATTATTGAAATGGAAACTTAAGCTTCGCCACCAAGGACCACCACAAAGGAGTCCTTTCATTCCTCCTTTTACTTTATCAAGAAAGTAGATGCATTATTTAAAACTGTATGAAAATACATGTCTAAAGAGAAGAGAGAAGATCTGAACCTACGGCAACGATGTGCCCCACCAAAGTTTCACCTCAGGATGTGTTTTAGGGTGTGTCTTTCATTTAGCCCTGCAATTAAAAGAAAAAAAAAAATCGAACTCATTCGGGGAGCCCCGGTACTTTCCCCATCCACCCTCACACGCAACCAGGCTCCGAAATCACTGAGTGCCTCAGCCTCGCCCTGATTTCTCCTACAAGGCGGCGGCGCCCGCGGCCGGAGGCCCCGCGCTGTCACAGCCGCAGGGAGGGCGCCCTCCGGCCTCCCAGGTCCGCGCCCGCCCCGCGTCGGGCGGCTCGCGAGGGGCTAGAGAGGCTCACCCTGGAGGCCGGGAGACCGGAGGGTGCCACCGCCTCAGCCCGGGAGCCCGGGCCTCCGCCCCGCCCCGGACTGCGTGCCTGGTCTTGGGCTGCCCCCGGCGCCCGCCGCGACCCCGGTCCCGGCTCTGGCCCTGAGCCCGGATCTCACCGTGCGGAGGTCGCGCTGCCTCCTCGGCCGCGGCCAGGCTGCAGGCCGCCCAGCGACTGCGGGCCCGAGGACGGAAGGTGAGGCGAAGGGCCGCCCGTCACATCCCCGCCAGCCCAGCCGCCTGAGCCGCAGCAATCAGCATCGCGTCCGCGGCCTGAGGGAGCGCCGGACTCCAAAGCCGCCGCGCCCCCTCCCTCGGCCGGCGCCCGCCCGGACTCCGCCCTCCAGGGCCCGCGCACCGCGCGCGCGCAGCCCCGCCCCGCCGCGGGCCCGTGCGCAGGCGCGAGCCTCACGGGGCTACGGGGCCCGCCCCCACCGCCTGATCCAGCCTCAGCCCACCTCTGGCCCCGCCCCGCCCTCACGCGAGGCTTTCCTAAGCTCCGCCTCTGCTTCGGGCCCCGCCCCCTCCACTGACCTTGCCTGGCCACCTCCTGACTCAGGTTTTTGCTCGGCCCAAGCAGTGACGCCAGTCTTGCGGCTGACCTCACCTCTAGCCGTCCCCTGGACTACATTTGCTGCTTGACCGCTGTCAAACCTGACAGCTCCTCCTCCAGGATGTGAAAAGTGAGGAGTGATCTCAGTATTGGACATGACTGAACCACTCACCTGCCTACCGCATCAAAACACAGGATCTTGCTAAGGCTTAGAGGAAGGGGCATCCCAAGTGCTGATCTGGTTTTCCTTTTTTTTTTGGAAACAGGGTCTTGCCCTGTCACCAAGGTTGGAGTTCGGTGGCGCTATCACAGCTCACTTGCAGCCTCGTGGGCTCAAGTGATCTTGTCACCTCTGGCGTGCATCACCACGCCTCCGAAATAATTACAGCTAAGACCACACTAGTCAAAGTAAACTATCACATATTGACCCAAATACCCGGCTAATTTTTATTTTTTCCTTTTAGAGATGGGGAAAGTGGTCTTAAAGGCTGATCTCAAACTCCTGGGCTCAAGCAATCCTCCCACCTTGGCCTCCCAACGTGCTGGGATTACAGGCGTGAGCCACAGCTCCTGGCCAACGTGGTTTCTTTGCCAGAAACCAGGTCTTTCTTCCCTTTGGGGCCTCCATCCCCCAGAGGCCATCTCTTCCCCTCTTCTTTTCCTCTACCACGGCCAATCCTGCCTCTGAGAGTCCTCAGCCTGGAAGACTTCAGGGCCTGGCCGGCTGTTTAAAGCTCTGGAGCTGCCCTTATCTAGTTGTAGACTTGCAGTTCTCTGAAATCTTTGTTGGCCCCAACAGCTGGATTGCAATAAATAATATTTCAAGGGAACTGCTTGAAAAATATCCGGTTCTTTCATGTCTCCAGATCAATGATACTCTAATGGAAAAAGTAGACGGAATGCCTGATTTGTATAACCACATTTAATTTAATAATATATTTTATATTTAGAAAATAATGTCTTTTAAATGTCAATCCTTAAAATATTTAATTTATTGGACAATAATGTGTGTGCTTAAAATGTTGAGAAAGACTAGGTCTAAATGCTGTGCAATTTCTCTTTGGATTACGTGAGATTAAGAAAGCAAACACCAGGCCGGGCACGGTGGCTCATGCCTGTAATCCCAGCACTTTGGGAGGCTGAGGTGGGATGATCACAAGGTCAGGAGTTCAACACCAGCCTGGCTGATATGGTGAAACCCCATCTCTACTAAAAATACAAACAAATTAGCCAGGCATGGTGGCGCATTCCTGTAATCCCAGCTACTCAGGAGGCTGAGGCAGGAGAATTGCTTGAACTCGGAAGGTGGAGGTTGCAGTGAGCTGTGATCACGTCACTGCACTCCAGCCTGGGAGACAGAGCATGACTCCGTCTCAAAAATACAATACAATACAATACAATACAATACAATACAATACAATACAATACATACATAGACCAGGCGTGGTGGCTCACAACCTCAACACTTTAAGAGGCTGAGGCGAGAGGATCACTTGAGCCCAGGAGTTCAAGATCAGCCTGGGTAACATAGAAACCTAGTCTATTAAAAAAAAAAAATTAACCAGTCTTAGTGGCATATGCCTGTAGTTCTGGCTATTCAGAAGACTGAGGCAGTAAGATTACTTGAGCCCAGGAGGTTGAGACTACAGTGAGCTGTGATTATGTCACTTCACTCCAGCCTGAGTGACAGAGCAAGATCCTCTCTCAAAAAAAAAAAAAAAAAGGCTAGGAAAAAACTTTCCCATAATGCTAATACATGGACATACTTAGTAGAATCACAATAGCATTTTAGTGCATTTTCCTAATTTTATAAGCATCCTTGATATGTTTTATTTGTTTTCAGTTAATTTTCCTGGGTCCTTTCTTTCTTTCTTTTTTTTTTTTTTTTTTTTTGAGACGGAATCTTGCTCTGTCGCCCACACTAGAGTGCAGTGGCGAGATCTGGGCTCACTGCAGCCTCCACCTCCCCAGGTTCATGCGCTTCTCCTGCCTCAGCCTTCCAAATAGCTGGGATTACAGGCATGTGTCACCACACCCAGCTAATTTTTGTATTTTTAGTAGAGACAGGATTTCACTATGTTGGCCACGATGGCCTCAAATCTTGACCTCAAGTGATCCTTCCGCTTCGGCCTCTCAAAGTGCTGGGATTACCAGTGTGAGCCACCGTGTCCAGCCTGCCCTTCCTCCATCTTCAAAACCAGCAAGAGTAGTTTGAGTCCTTCCCACATTGCATCACTCTGACCTCCTCTTCTGTCTCAGTCTTCTACTTTTAAAGACACGTGATTATGTTAGGTCCAACTGGATGCTCTAGAATAACAACCTTATTTTAAGGCCAGTTGATTAACAGCCTTAATTCCATCTGCAACCTAAATTCTCCTTTTTTGGCATCCTCTTGAGGTAAGAGAGAGACATTCTTTCAGGGGAAGTTTTAGGGTTCCATGACAAACAGCACAATGAAACAGTTGGTCAGAGCCCCAGTAGGAGATGATTCTGGAGACCATCCAAAAACAGACAAGTTGGGTGCAGTCCTACACACTTGTAATGCCAGCTACTTGTGAGGTTGAGTCTGAAGGATTGCCTGAGGCCAGGAATTCAAGCCCCACCTGGGCAACATAGCAAGACCCCGTCTCTAAGAAAAAAAAAATGCAACATATAAGAATCTCTGATGAAATCTCCTGGCTAGGCATGGTGGCTCAAGCAAGAGCTTTGGGTGGCCAAGGCAGGAAGATAACTTGAGTTCAGGAGTTGTGACCGGCCTGGGCAACATGGTGAGAACCCCCCATCTCTACAAAAATAAAAATATAATAAAAGTTAGCTGGATGTGGTTTGTGGTGCACACTTGTAGTTCTGGCTACTCAGAAGGCTGAGGTGGGAGAATTGCTTGAACTCAGGAGTTTGAGGTTACAGTGAGCTATGATTGCACCACTGCACTCCAACCTGGGTAACAGTGAGATCCCATCTGTAAATAAATAAGAATAAAAAAGAAATCTCCTTTCATCTCACAAATATTTACTGAGCATCCACAGGCACTGTTCTGGATTAAGTCATGAATAAGGACAGGAGTCAATGGGACTGATTTTCTAGAAGAGACCACCAGTTCTTCACAGAAGGCAGTCTGATGATGGGAACTCTTGGCTCCCACAGTCACAGAAAGTTTTCCTTCTTGGCCCTAATTTTGAAGGCTTTGCATGCCTTGATGCCTTCTGGATCTAGAATCCAGCAACAAGGAGCATCTTTACCAGTAAAGGACGGAGTATCCAAGATCTGGCCTCCTGGTTGAAGATGTAGAAAGCCTGCTTTTCAGCTGTGAAGATGACAAACGGGAGCAAGGTAGAATGAACTCCTTCTTTTCGTTCCCTAAATTGCTTGGCAAGGCCCAGAAAGTGAAAAATAATGTATTAGTCAGAATTCCCTAGAGGGACAGAACTAATAGGATAGATGTATATATGAAAGGGAGTTTATTATGGAGTATTGACTCACACGATTGCAACATGAAGTCCCATCTGCAAGATGAGAAGCAAGGAAGCCAGTCCGAGTCCCCAAAGCCTCAAAAGTAGGGAAGGTGACAGTGCAACCTTCAGTCTGTGGCCAAAGGTCCCAGAGCCCCCAGCAAATCACTGGTGTAAGTCCAAGAGTCCAAAAGCTGAAGAACTTGGAATCTGATGTTTGAGGGCAGGAAGCATCCAGCACGGGAGAAAGATGAAGACCAGAAGACTCAGCAAGTCTAGTCCTTCCATCTTCTCCTGCCTGCCTTATTCTAGCTATGCTGGTAGCTGATTAGATGGTACCTACCCACATTGAGGGTGGGTCTGCCTCTCCCAGTCCACTGACTCAAATGTTAATCTCCTTTGACAACACCCTCCCAGACATACCCAGGAACAGTACTTTGCATCCTTCAGTTCAATCAAGTTGACAATATTAACCACCACAAGTTCACCCCTTGTCAACCTTGAACCCATACACATCTCCTGAAATCATACATAATCTTCAAATAAAGATAATAATAAGGTCATAATTATGCCTAACAAAACAGCTATCCTTCATACAACCGGAAGTGTACTAATCCTTAACCTAAATGCTATTTCATAAAGTTAACAACACTTAAATGCTGATATGAAGTCAATAAATCTTATGTCACATGACAGAGGAAAAAGGAGATAAAATGAATTTATTTTCTTAGTACAAGTGTACACATGCACAAATATGTTCTTAACAAAAGGAGGAGGAAATACTAATGACAATTACAGTCCTTGTTGCTGCAACTGGTCATGCGGTCGTAGCTGGTCTTGACGACTACCTTCTTCTACTATTCATTCTGTATTCCCCTTGCCCTCAGCAAGCACCTCAAAAGGGCATGGTTTTTTACCTGGTAGAGTGACGCAAACCTTCATTCCTGAAGGGTCTGGGCCATTTGTAGTCCTGCCTGAATTGGGTTGTTGTAGTTTCCCATTGACCTTAATCATAGGGCATGGTAATACTAAGAGACACCCTAATGGATCTCCTGTATTCCATTCATACTCTTCCTTACCTCCATTGTGGAGTAGTAGACTGATGTCATCTTGATAGTATGGCTGAATCACCCCAACCAACACTGTAACTCCCTCTTAACCTGTTGACTTAGAGGTAGGAGGAGCCCAAAGTGGCCAGGTGACAATCTTAACTTCCAGCTCAATGGAATCGTTGTGTCTCCTGGTGGCAGCATTCCTCCTTCTGGAACTAAGACCTCCAGGTCAGTAGGACATAATGTCGCAGGAACAGGAAGCATAAATTTTGCTAGTAGGTCACTAGGGGTGATGATGGGTGGAGGTGATG